AGTCCGTGTCAGGCAGGCACATCGATTGTTTGATTACAAATACACTCAATTAAAACACGATACGATAAATAAAAAAAATATTAAAAGTCTGAACTAATTTAACGTTTTCTTATAAATTTAACATATTTTTAAAAAATGCTTCCAACCGCACGCCTCTACCCAATAATAAATAAAAACTTCAGTGAACCGAGCTGCTGTTTCATTTTAAACAAATTATATTCCGTATTTATATACATGTATGTAATTCCTGTATTTTCACATATAATTGTAGGTATTTAATTTATCGATTCACCAGTGTATAATAACGAGGTTTATTACTCCTATTAAAATAAAATTTCCATAATTTAAGAAAAAATGCAACAAAACTTGAGGTCCTCGTTTTTTTTCCGTATGACAGTTTTATCAATTAAAAACCAAACCCCTTCGAACCTTGTTTTTCAAATTAATAAATTCGTGTAAACTACTGCAATTGATAACGAATCGATTAATTGTGAAGAAGTCGAAGCGGTACGATTAACAAACAAAAAACTCCTTAAATCTTTAATTGCAACTAAAATGCAGAAAAATTGAAACTCAAGTGTTATTGCATTATCTCTCATTAAAAAAAATCAAAACTGAAGTGTTTTTGTGTTAGACATCTCCTATTCTACAATAAAAATCAAATTTGTATTTGCGAAAATTGAACACGTAAATATGATTAGACAAAAACTATTTGTTTTAATGTTAAACGTTAAAGTAAACAAGCAAAAAGCACTACCTTATATGTAATATGTTATTACGCAAATTCAAAGTAAAAAATAAAATACAATAAACTAAAATTACCTAGTAACAATAATAAGCACTCTTACTGAAACTTGTTTAGACAAATATTATCAGGATCCTCAAGGAAATTTATCGGCAAAATTGGTATAAATAGGTATTTTCACAGCCATTGTTAATGATGAACTAAAATTCTTAGTAAATCGAAAAATGAACTAAATGATTTCTATTAAAAAAAAGTTTTGAAAATAAATATCCATTTGATGCTTATTATTGTTAAAAGAAACCCAATAAAACAAAAGACTTTCGACATTGAAAGCTCGTAAATGAGAATACGAACCAAATTTTTTAAATAAAATTAATAGAATTAGTAATTCTCTTTTAAACTACGTTCCCCACTCATTTACAATAAATAAGAAAATGGTAACACTATTAATTACAAAAAAAAACTATCTCATGTATGTACAATTGTCTATGAAATATACAAGCATTATTTACATGCAAAATAGCCAAAGCTACCTCGCCGAAGACTTAATAACAAGTAAAAACAATAAAGAAAGCACATTCATTGTTAGATAATATTTTTGACATTGCAATGTCTTCTTTTTTTTTGAATAATGGATACTTAGTATTAAACTACATGAAGTAATATTGAATATTTCCATTAATCTTCAGAATAGTTTCAATATAGTGCCTGAAGACTTTTCAATGTCCACATTATCAAAACAAAAACAAAAGTAAGAAAATAAACCTCTTCCTACCCCTTAAATCGAGAAAAAAAAATGACGTTCACATCGACAAAATTCGAAAATGTAAATAGCATACTTATTAGTTTAGAATCTGAAAATTTATCAAGAATCATAGTTAGTTTTCAATCGGCAAACCAGAGACTTGTTTGATATTGGTGCGTTTTTGCAGGACTCAAAGGTGCAAATCCGTATGATGCGGCCACCTGACCATGCGAGGGGAATTGTAGATGAGCAGGTAACGGATGACTCGCGTGACTCGCAATTACCGGCCTGGCACTGGAATGATGCGCCGGAGGTGGAGGTAATCCTCTGCTGTAAGAATAAACTATCCTGTCCTTATTAAGAAATGATATATACATAATAAGTATTCTATCTCAAAAGTAGATGTTACGGAATACATGAATTTACATGATCGATTTCAACGTAATATGGTGTCATTTGATTGTTTCTTAAAATTTACCGATTAATTTAAGGTAGTATAACTGGTTCATAAAGTTTACCATGTGACTTAAATAAATGGACTTTATCATTGTGGAATGGCATACCGTTGCACTTCTCGCTTTACGCTTGTAGCGGAGCGGTAATAAAAGCGGCAGTATTGTAATAAGATTTTTTTATATTTACTACATTTTTTTTTACAAATATTCCCTATATTTTTCGAAGATTTTTATGCCGAAAAACGGAACTTTTTTATTATTCACAAAAAATTCAATTTTTTTCAAACGAATTATTTAAACAAAAAAACAAATTTGGCACAATTTCTTTAGTTATTTACAACTATTTAAAGAAACTATTATAGTCTTCCGGGCTTTGAGGTCATGGTCTAGGGGCCAGTTTGTTGCTGCTTAACGTGTCGTCAACAGCTGTGGTTGACATCTACAGAAGACGGCGGAGTATCTAGAATGTCTGCTACTGTATGTGTCTTGATTACTCCTATATTCTGCTTTGGATGATGGTCTAAAGTTTTGTTCAAATATCTATCTGCATGCGTCGGTTTCTTTTTATTTTTTATTTATTCTTGAATTAACCTAAAGTTCTTTGGGATGGAGTACGCAAAGTCCCTCTCTTTTAACTTTCATAAACCTAAAACTAATACAACCTAACATTTCTCTTTTAACACGAACCACGTAACAGCAGTTTGGCCTTTCTCACAAGCGATTGTCAAAATGGTTACCCCAAGGGCCCCGTACTCTTGGAGAGACTTTCTCTTGCGAAAATGATGACAATGGGAAGCGAGCTTCAATCCATGCTCGCCATTATCAACTACTTCCTACGCCAGCTTACTGAAGACGTGCTTTTATCTCCAATGTGTGAAAACACAATGCCTAGCATTTCTTCTGTTACCCGGGCTCAACCCGATTCAAAGCCACCCCCCACTGCCGCTGATAACTTCACAAAAGCCGGAAAGCCATAAAACAAACGCCGGAGGCATGCCATTTTCTCTATTCGGCCTTAAAATCAAAAACCGGCAAAAAATAGTCAAGACTCCAACCCCCCCCCCATCGACATCACCAAAAGTTACTTTGGCTGAAAATTCTTCGCTCCATAGACAGCTACGGCATCGCCACAAGTCGGACGATGTACACCCATGACTCTATAAGAGTCTACCTAAACTTCATGAACGATTTTCGTCGACTCTCATCGTTCCTCGACATATCAAAAGTTGAGTTTTCGACAAATCAACTTAAACAAGGCCAGAACTTTCATGTCGTCCTCCGTAAGTTTGTGAAGACATTTCAACAGATGATATCCAAGACGAACTTATTCATAAAGTCTTTGCCATCGGCGGCCTCCACAGAATGTACAACGGTGGAAAAATCTGGCCCTAAGTGTCCGATTCTCAAGACAAAACCTTTCCGAAATCCAAGTGAATCTTGGAACTTGGCAAGGTCTGCGGTTAAAAGTTAAAGGTGAGCCAAAAAGAGTCACTAAAGACATCCCCCAATGCTGCCATTGCATGAAATTCTTCCACACAGCCAATTATTGTGACGCTGTCTGGGTCTGTTCCTTCTGTAACTGCAAGGGAAACCACCGCGCGACATACCACGGCTGCACCAAGGTTCTAAAGAGAACAGTACCCCCAACCATTATCTCCTCCTAACACTCCGACTAACATAAAAACCGTACAATCAGCGCCCCGTCAAATAACTCTCCCCGCAAGGACGCCCTTCAAAAGGCTTACAGTGGCAGCAGCTCCTCCCTCTTTTTCCCAACAGCGCAATGCGATCCCAAACACCTCTGCAACTTCTACTCTAGAACAGAGAATCCAGGCCATGGTTCAAACGACGATCTTACAAACACCCACCAATGTATAATACAACCCACCTATATAAGCTTAGAATAGTTACCTGGAATGCACAAAGCATTAGATGTAAACTGACTGAACTCGAACACAAAGTCAAATTTATCGTCCCGAACTTCTCAACCTACAGAAGGGGCCGTGGAAACCCTGGTGGAGGCGGTGTAGTCATCTTTGTTAGGAACTCATGAAAGTACAAGCCCAACCCTTTGATCACAAATTCCTTAAAGCAGTCGACATCTAAGTCTTACTAAAATCCGGCCCTCTTAGGATCATCTCCCTATAACCTCCCCTTCGGATCAAAATCTTTCTGAACTCAACCCTCCTCAAGCCCTCAGGCGCTTCGACTATCGTCACAGGCGATTTCAACTCTAAATACGTTTCTTGGAGCTGTCGACAAACCAATAAAAAAGGCGTCTTCTATCCTGTCAAAGTTCTCGACTTCAGCCTCACAATTGAACCTCCCCTGACCCCACGTTCCTCCCTGCCCCCGCAATCAATTGTTTGACATCCTCGACATTTTCGTTACAAAAAATGTTACGCTTTCTGTTGATCTTATCAAAGCACTTAGCTCGGATCACCTTCTAGCCCTAATTAAAGTCGGCCGTCCAAACAACACCCCAAGTCCAACCACTACACTAGACTAGCCACACCTTCGCTACACCCTCGAAACATTTTCATTCAATTCGCATAATAGCGGGAAGGAGGAAACTGTGAATCTCCTCTCAAACGAGATTACCAGCGCAACCGAACTCTCCACGATCTCCCGTCCCACGTCCGCCCTAGTCAAAACTCTCACTGCAGACATTCTTGCCCTCGTTAATAGGAAAAACAAAACTTGCCGTCTGTGGCAAAGCTTAACGCTCTCTAGTGAGAACAAAACTCGCCTCACAGAATTCCGCAGCGCCACTTTTAACGAATACATCGCCCAGGCAAAAACCCACCACAAAAGCACTTGGAGCACTCCCACAATTAAAGCAAAATGGCTTCTTATACACATCAGATAAGAAAATAGTTGAAACCTTGGCATATCTGTCTCCAGTGCTCCCCACTACCCAGCCCTGTGAATCATGACGAATTTCACGAGCGAACCCAAGCCGCCTTCCAAAACTTCGTCCCTACTGTTTCTGAATTTAAACATACGTCCCCCAGTGAAATTTTCCTCTATATCCAATCTCTGAAAATGAAAAAAGCCTCTGGCACGGACAGAATTCCCAACGGTGTCTTAACAGTCATGTCACCAAAACAGATAACTGGACTATGCAATATCAAAAACGCTATCATGCGGCTCCACCATTTTCCTTTGGTATGAAAAGAAGACACACTCTTTTGTCTCCCAAAAAAGGGAAGTCTCTCAGCAATCCCTCAGGCTGCAGACCCATCAATCTGCTTAGTTCGCTGATCCATCCTTCTACAACCGCTTCTTGGCTACGTGGAGCAAAACAATCTCCTAACCGATTTCCAACAAGGTTTTCGTAAACACCACCGTCACTGACGTCATCTTTGACAGAACACTGACATAGCGAAAACACATCCTTGCCACCCATGCCAAGGCTCTGAGCGCCTTTTTCTCCCTCAAGCTTTTTTCCAAAACATCTCTCATTAAACAAAAATCCGTGCGTTCAACGCAATTATCAGAAGCATTTGCACCTACGCCATTTCTATCTGGGGCTACACCGATCCCCGCCGCCTGCAAATTCTTCAAGGCACTTACATGTGGATTCTTCGTTCCACACGCAACTACCGATGGTTCATCAGAAACATCCAAATTCTAAAAGAAACTGGCCTATCTTGTCTGTAAGCAGATTCGCGGCACATAATCTCAGGGGCTCAGTGTCAGGTCACCCAAACTCGTCTATCTCGACGCTTTCTGACTGTCCTCTAAACAAAATGACCGTTTCAGAAGGCCCTGTCACCTTTTCTCCTGAGCTGTTCACCTTTTACTCAACTCTAATTACGCTCTATGGCGCGAGCGCCCACCCAACTCTTTGAGGCGGGCCACCGATTTCCATCCACACCATTAACCCCCCTTGAAAACTCTCCTTTCCCAAGCTTCCCTGAGATGTATAACCTTTGGGTGGATCTCCCTACACGAGAGGTTTTAGTCGGTAGACACTTCGGAGAATTCGACACTACCCAGAGGGGTGTCTTTTGAAGATTTACCCTTAGGAAAAACTAAACAAAAAAAGAGTGGTCGTTACACACAACAGCAGACAGACGAGAAGAACACTTCGAGATAGAAATCTACTCCGTCATCGGCAGCACTTATGAAGATGTCAACCACAGGCGTTGATAAGCAGCAACAAACCAGCCTCTAGGTTACGACCCCAAAGCCCGAAAGACTATAATAGTTTAGATGACGCCAGTCGTGAAAGCCTGCATGCTTTTATTTAAAGAAAGTTAAAAAGCTGAAGCAGGTATTCCTTTAAATAAAAAGAATTTATTTGACATAACAAAGGAAGATTCTTTCTTTATGTAAGTAATATACACTATGTTTGATCAGTACTCTGGAAAAATTACGACAAAAGGTACATGAAAAAGAAATAGAATGAGCCACCTCGCACCCCCCAGTGATATACAAAATCATCAGGGGTAATGACCTTGCCGAAAGCCTCAATTACTCCTAGCGTAATTGTGTAATGCGGCGTCGTTACATGTTGTGAAGAACCCCACACTGCCGGTTATTTTATATGGCGATAGTAACGGTACAATTCGCAAAAGCAACGAAGGTACATCCTGGTAGGTGTAGTGTGTTGAACACGGTCATAGAAATGGCGTATTCCGATAATAGTATCACGTGGAATCTCTGTTTTTTATGTAATGACTTGGATACACAAACCGGGATTGTCTTTTATTAATCGCAAAACGATTTCGTCTATACCAACCTGTTGTCCTTACTGACCTTCACTCCCTCGGTGAGGTACATCGTTCCTGTATGCTCATTGCCGTGCCCCCCTATTTTGCGTGCGAATACACTGTTTTTTGCTTAATATTCTCAAAATAAACTAATTTTTCTATTTGTGGTA